CAGCAGATGCTGCAAATAAAAATCATGATTATTATTCAACAGATCATTTTTTAAAGATTGAATAATTAGAAACTGTGAGAAGTGATAGCAGTGTGAATAGTGAAAGCTCTTCAGTCTTTAAAAAGAATTAAAAGAAATATAAATTTTTTGAATAAGAATTCTCTGTTTTATTAACTCAGAATTAAAGCAGAGAAAACACTTTATTTCTCAAACTTTATCTTTTTTTTTAAATAAAAAATTTATCAAAGTTTTTGCTTAAATTAAATTTCATTTCAGTTTAAAATTATATTTCTGAAATATTAAAAACTTTCAATATTAAATGAAATCTCTTTTCATTCAAATTGAATCACTTTATTTTACTGAATAACTCTCAATAAATTGATTATTAGGTTTTCAAAGAAATGAATATATAAATGAGAAATCAAAAAATTAAATCTCCATTTTTTTTCTTTATAATAATTTATATATATATATAAACTACTTGTAGAGATCAAGCTATCATTCAAACACTGATATTTTAATTTTTATCTTGTTTATTTTTAGATGAAAGGACAGTTTGAGAAGCAATTAAAGGATTTGAGAGATTTGAATTGATGAGATATGCATTATTCAATTGTGCTGAGGTATCTTTTTGTTGCTTGACAGGCATGTGTGACTGGGAGGTACTCAGGGGGGACTTGACATGAATGCATTGAAACATCAAAATCAATCAGAGTTTTTTCAAACACAGAATCAAGAATAACTCAGTGAATTGTCAGTCAATTTATACAAAATTTTGATAGATTATCAGTACTAGATAAATCTATCACTGATTTAAATTTGAGTTAATTTGATCAAGAAATGGTGAAGTATTTTAATGAATTATCAAGAAAACATCTCTGCAGATGCCAAATCACTATTCATCAAATATTTCTCTCAAATCTTGATTCAATCTTTTCAAATTTACAGCAGTTATTGATATAGACAATAGGAATTGATTAAGGGTATTTGTATTGTCTAATTCGACGTATTGGGCTCGTTCGTGATTCCGGTGGTATAATATTTGAAATTTGTTAATAGACAGTCAATGCTAGAGCTGATTTTGAAAAGTCTTCAAAATATTCAAAGAAAAATCTCATTCAATTGTTCTATTCATCTTCACTGGGTGCCTGCTCACATGGGTATATATGGCAATGAAATGGCTGATAAAGCTGCAAAAAAAGCAACTGAATTAGAAGTCTGCTTTCAAAGAATTGTAACATGGGCTTTTATTAAGAGAAAAATAAGAGAATCATGTTTGCAAAAATGGCAAGATATCTTGTTTTTACAAAAAAAGAGTGTACATTATTCCAGGGTTGAAACTAAGCCAAAATGGAAAGCTTGCTCAATAAAATGTAAAAAGAAACTTTTTGCTACAATAATACAGCTATAAAGCTTGGACATGGTTATTTTAAATTATATTTGACAAATATTAGAAATGATTTAAGTGATTTATATTCAAATTGTCAGTTATATGAAAATCCAGAGCATCTTCTTTTACATTGTACAAAGCATACAGAGTTAAAATTGAGATTGAGAGAGAAGTTTGATTGACATAGTTAAATTTAAAACTTTTTGTTCAATACAAAAACTGGAAATGAATTCTTGATTGAATATTTGACAGAATCAAATGTTGCTACAAGATTTCAATTAAATAGCTTGATTTGATAATAAACTCAATTTTGGTTTTCGGTTTTTTTTTTTTTTTTTTTTTCTTATTTTTACTTTGAAATTTATTTCATTTATTTTTGATTTTGACTTGTTTTGAAAAGTTTGATTTGTGAATGCTTTCTTTTCTTTTAATAGTTGTTGTTTCTTATACTCTTTATTTCATTTGTTTTAAATTAAATGTATTGATCTGCTATCATTCTTTTAACATTCTTTTTAAATTGAATAGTTTGAATAGTTGTTTGATTCTGAGCTGGAATTCTGCTATTGCATGTATTAAATTGACTTTGTATATTAGCTTGTTCTCAAGTTGAAAAATCCTGGAGTATTTCAGATAGATGTTATAGTCACTGACTGTATACATCTATAATGGAAGAATAATAATAATAATTATATATATATAATTTAATTTAAAATTAAAACTTTATTAGAGCATCTCCTTCTAATCAGTTATAGACACATAATAAATTTATATAAAAAAAATTTATTGTCAATTCATTTTTTTTCAAGTTTATTCTTTATTTTTTATTTTTAAATTAAATAGATTGAGAGCTACTGTGAATTTATTCAGAAAAAAAAAGTTTTCTTTTTTCATGCATAAAAAGATGTAACATTTGTATGATTCTCAATATATTCATATTCAAATTGGTTTAATGTATTAAAACTCTGTCATTTATAAGAACTGCTGTTAAAGAAAGCTTTGAAATTCAACATTATTTTCAATGAAATTTCTTTTATTCATGACATGATATTTATAGAGGTGTTTATAAATTCATTTTATTTTCATGCAAAATCATGATTTTTGATTTCAGTAACTTGAAAATCAGAAGATTCAATTTTTATTTTTTTAAAAAATACTTCATAAACATTCTAATTTTTTAATAAACATACAATTATGAATTTTTTAATGCTCAAGCTTCTTCGCAATGCTATTATAATGATGTCACTTTGTAGAGTTTAAGTGATTTATTTTTATATTTAATTTGAACATCTAGATGCAGTTATAAACATAGAATAAATTGATACAGATAAATCAATTTATAACATAACAACTTTATTTTAATTAACAATTAACTCTATTCTAATATAGTTTATAAATTGATTAAGAAAAGAAAGAAAATGAAAAAAAGATCAGAAAAAGAAATTGTATAAAAAAATTTTTATAAAAAAAATTTAAAATGAAAGAATATTAAAAATCATGCTATGCTGTAGTAAAACATGAAATGAAAAAAATGTAAGAGATTATATAAAAAACTCAAAGAAGAATTCCTAAAGGAGAATCGACAATCACCATCGAATCATACTGCACCCTATATTATCAACAATAGGGCAGGGCCTTTTAGACAACCTCTTACCACTTGTTCAAGCACATATTAGAGTCTCCCCCATAGACGATGAATTTGAATTCCTCTGAAATTTTGCCAGAAGCGAATATGATCTGGGATACCGGAGCACACCGAACTATAATCTCTGCGGACCTTCTTTCCGAACCCATTCCGTCGTCGTCTTGAAAATGGGGAGAATGACATATATCAATTTGAGAGTGGGACAGCTGTTCAGGTGACAATCCTAGTTGCCCTCTCGAACACTACAGTCACCATTGAGGCGATTGCTTTAGTTTGCCCTAGAAATCTTATGCCAAACGGGTACAATGGCATTCTCTTCGGACAGAGCCAATATATTAATTCACTGGTATATACCAGTATTCCCCGCACGGCTCTTCTTCATTCTGGAGAGGACGTTGCTGAGGATGCCTGGGGCGACCTTTCTCTCAGTTCTTATTTTGATCCGTTTGGTGACCCCAATGCCTTTCGAGATCATTACTTGTTGGGGGATCTTTAAGGTGGCTCTCCCTCATTTTCATTGGTGTCATGGCATTGCTGCACACAATGGTAATGGCCCTTGCACGACTTTTTCATAAATTTTAAAGCGCTTCGTGACTGTTTTAGCATGTTTCCTATGCAATTTGCCTGCTTGCTATATTCTTACTCTTTGGCTTGTCCACTTTTTTTTTTTTTTTTTTTTTTTTTTTTTTTTTACACCTTTTTACTTCTCCTTACGAATTGGTTCTGGTTCACCTGAACTATATCATGTCCGCTAGTCAAATCCCCAGCATGGTCACAGGGCTTTTAACTCCTACACTTTATCTTTATTTTTGATTTGAGATACCAAGGCTACGGTTATATCAAAAGGATCAATTAATGAAATATAACTAGAGAAACACGAGCGTCTTGAAAGAGAATTCCCCGAGGGAAACCAGTCTATTGAAAAGGTGGATTGCCGAAGATGGAGACAAATGCCCCAGGTGTCCTCGGTGTGACAAACCCCCACCAACGATGAGATAGATTTGTATACCCATCGGGGAAACAGGTATTGCTGGTTTGATGGTGGCCTGCTCTGTGGACTACATTAGGGAGTCAAGCTGTACACCGAGACACTGATCTATAGCAAAATTCAAATAACCATGAGGGTTTCCAACTATAGGAGACGAAACTACGCTATGTTCTATCACATACGAACATAGGAAGTGGAAAATAGGGCTTCCCGTCCGCTCAGCCGTACTCAAGCCATTTGCCGGCCTGTTAGTAGTTGGGTGGGTGACCACCAGCGAATCCGGGCTTTTGTATGTTTTCTTTTTTTTTTTGGATTGTTTATTTGGGTGTATATGGAAAATATATAATTAACTCCAAGTACTTTTAAGATACTGTTTATATAGTAGAAAGACCCAAGTTTATACTGATTGTGATAGGCTTTTAATTTTTCGATAACCAAAGAATATTTCTGATTCTTCTGTAACCTTCGAAGGAGGACATATAAACAAGATATGCAGGGCGACCGTCAGATAGAACATATTCGTCAAACTCTGACAAAACCGCGCGAATGACCTCATATATGCCGTACTTTTGCAGTAAGTAAACAAGATGTGGCCTACAGACGTAAACGACAGGCAACACGAAAGTTATACACAACGTCACCAATTCTAGCAGGTTATAACCGGAAAGCAAAAGGTGAGGATATTATACCTTCTGATAATTGCCACAGAGGAAAGTGCCCGGAGGTTATTTGTAGTAAACAACTTCATCTATTTACAAATTATCGCCAGAATAAAAAAAAAGGTCAAGAGGCAATGATTTTAATTCTCCCTCCCTAGTACGGAAAGAAGGTAGGAAAAAGTGAATCAAAATGACAGTCGGAAAATCTATTCACACCTGTCCAGTTAACGTAGCGCTAGAAAGGAAAAATACCGTGATATACATATATTTTCTGGCTGGGGGGCCTGGCATGATAGGAGTCAGAGTGCAGCGGGAAGGCAATTATGCCAGAAGCATTCGCCTCGGATCTTCGATATACTCCTTAATCTATCGAAGGGGTTAGGGTTAGTAAATCACCACAGTCCTCATGATGGGACAAAACAAGACGGACCTTAACCAAGAACGTGACGGCTTCCCGACCATCCAGAAGACGGTGATCGTAGGTCAATGCGAGATACATCATCTAAAATAGATATTAGTTAGATGCATATGAAAAATGTGAGTCATCACACGGGAAAACACTTACAGGTCTGATCTCAATTTTTCCATTGACGACGACTGGCTTATCCTTGATCGCGTGAAGGCCGAGCACAGCTACAGGAATCTCGTAAGTATGATACGACCATAATATGCACACACTCGTCGGATGAAAGAGCGCTGCTCACCTGTTTGTGGAAGGTTGATAATCGGGGTACCCATCAGAGATCCAAAAACGCCTCCCTGGAAAGGATATTAATAAAAACGCGACCGCTGAATGGAGTTTAGAGACCCTTACATTGCTAATGGTGAACGTGCCGCCGGCCATATCCTCAATGGTCAATTTATTATCACGTGCCTTTCAAAAGCGAATGTTAATATGAGCTTGTCTATAATTCTAAAGGGAGAAGTAGTATGGAACCACATCACACAAGCATACCTTTTTACCTAATTCCGCAATCGCCTTCTCAATCCCAATGAGTTCCATAGACTCAGCGTTTCGTACGACCGGCGTGACTAGACCCTTCTCCGTCGCTACCGCCACGCTGATATCGACATAGTCTCTATAGACGATTGTATCTCCGCCATTGGGCCCTTCAATAGACGCATTGACGGTTGGAATATCTCTCATAGCCAAAACACAGGCACGAGAGAACGCGCTCATAAAGCCCAATTTTACACCAGTTTTCTTCAAAATATCGTCCTTGTATAGTTTACGGAATTCCATGAGAGATGACATGTCGACCTCGTTGAATGTAGTGAGCGATGCCGCTGTATTTTGGGACTGCTTCAGGCGCTCCGCAATTCGCAATCGCATACGGTTCATTTTTACCTAGATAACATGTCAGCCGAAAGAGCTTTTTCTTCAGTGGAGGGGAGAGTACTCTGCGTTCTTCCCTATTCCCAAGGGCTGATTGAGACGCTTGGGCCGGCTCCGGTTTGGATGGGGAGGATTTCTGGACGATTGGCTCCGACTTTGGTGGAGGGGTAGTGGCCTTTGCTCCTTCTTTCGGAGACGATGACGGTGGCGGGTGAGCAGATTCTGTTTTGGCTGCTGGCTTTTCTTCCGCTTTCGCAGGCTCCTTTTCTTCTTTGGACTTCTCGGGAGCGGGGCCCCCTGTCTCCAGCCTGACGAGATCTTGACCAACGGTAACAGTGTCCTCCTCATTTACAAAAAGTTCCTTGATCGTACCTGCCTCTGGAGCATTGACGGTGACATCGATCTGAAACAAAAACGTGCGAGAGTAAGTGTCTTTTTTCTTTCTTTCTTTCTTTCTTTTTTTTTTTGGGGAGAGGGAGGGAAGGGAGAGGATAAAATGCAGTTCGGGGGAAGCGTGATAAAATATTACCTTATCTGTTTCGATGGTTGCAAGTTCCTCGTCTCGCTCAACATATTCGCCAACCTCTATATTCTTGTTTAGAAAGATTCCATCAATGGACACGTAATATGATCCAGGAAAGCGGAGAAAGGCTTGAGGAAGGTAATATCTCACTTTTAGAAAACTGTTTTAATGTTCCTTCTGATATCGACTCGGCCATCGGCGGTACCTTTACGATCGAATCCGCTACCAGACTCGTTAGAAACGTTTCAAGGCAATTAAAAAGTTTGACAAGGGGGCGAGCATATCAACCATAAGTTCGTCGCTGGCTGCCCATAAACAGCGGGTTATTCGACAGGGCTACAGATTGTCTACACAATAAATGACCGATCAGAATCAAAGAATCTGTGACGGAATGGGGATATATACCTCCATGGAACCGACGAATTCAGAAGAGTGGTGTGCGCAGTTCTCAGGCTGCCATTGGATCGAGACGCCCGGCTTAGAGAAGACACAGCTCTGCAAGAGATTGAGCTGGTATAAACATGTCGAGGGACAAGTCGCAAATGTTTCGACATTTCTCGCGGGAGCTGTAGTCGTGGAGCCATCGGGTTTAGCGGTTATCAGTCTCAAGGCTGAGAATTAGGATAGAGGATGGTTGTGATTTAACAAGGCCGGAAGAAAACGACAGAGAGATAATACTAAGCAAAGATCAATATTAACAGAGAGTGTGTTGTCACGCAACGAGAGATGTCAACATAGTAGTGCTCGGTCCAAATTCTTGTTCTTGTTCTTAGTCTTGTTGTTGCTTGAAGCCAGCATGGTTGCGGAACAGGAACATCTTCCCTCCCGCGTCCCCGGCCCAAGCATCACACCAACCAGCTGCTTTGACAACCAGCGACAGCCAGACAACGCCCTTGCCACTGGCTCGCTCAACGGATATTCAACAATCAATTAACTACCCACTGGGTTGGGGCCACTTGGGATCAATTCTTCTTCGTCCACCACCATGACGCCCAACCCAACAGCCTTGTAAGCTACCCTCAAAATTCCGCCAGATTACTATTGCACTTTCGTTTCCATCTATCCTATATCTACTAATCGCACCCACCTCCAATCTGTATTTGAACAGGTCTCTCTACCGACGGTCCCTCAAGCTCGCCCTCGATTGGGCCGTCCATCGTCACCTATGGCGTGGCCAGGCTGTCTATATCCGTTCGCTCTTTGATGCAAATAGACATGTGCGCGAGCCTCGACAACAGAAAGTACGACACTGCACTGTTCAACCATAATTGATGTATATATATGTATATGTGGGCTTGGGATTATAGTTGACGCATTCATTAGGTTTTATTCCGCGAGACCGAGAAGTTGCTGGAAGAGTGGAAACATCCTGATCCGTATAGAGCCCCGACGGCACCAGGCGGTATGCATTTTCCCCTTTGATGGATGGATCAATTGCACCGCGTAGTTTTTGCTTCTTTTTTTTTTTAACACGTCACTGACACTTCGTTGCGTAGGGAGCAAATACGAGCGAAATTCCGAATTACCAATTCTACCATGTACGTGGGAAATACGTGTATCTATACAACCGAATCATACTAACTGAGGTTTTAAATAGTGGGCAAAGCACAACATGAAATAATGGAGGAAGAGGAACAGCGAATCAGAGAAGCTTCAAGACTTAACCAGGCAAAAGCACAGAGGCAGAAAGCAGATGAGCAGGAAGTGATCAGACTTGAAAAGGAGCAGAACCTTCAGTGATTTTGTTTATGTGTGTATGTGTAACACTGGGTTGAGTATTTTTTGCTATAGAGAAAGGAAGAGACATCCTCAGTATAAGTCCTTTCTATGTATATAAACTAAATGTTTCCTTTGGGTTTTCTTTTCCAATAAATTATCTCTCAGTCACTGATTGCTTTTGTCTCAAGCTGATAATGTCCACCGCACAGATATGAGTGCTGACTCTGATCGCTCATTGATGAGCCTCTAAGAAAAGATTTTACATGCAAATCAGACCTGTATATTCCATTTCAGTCCTAATGTACGTACATACATAGCAGTCTCAATTGCACTCACTTCCTTTGTTGGATTTGTGACCAACCATGCATCACCAACCCCCACCCCAACATTCAACCTTGGAAGTTCCAAGGGTTGGAGAAACCCACATCCTCATGTTTTTGTCAACTTGCGTTCCATAAAACTTGCAAGCCGTGGTTGATCCCGGAGCGATATCAACAAAAGCCAAGCCAGTGGGATTTCCTGACGCGTCCTTAGTAGATATAGCAGCTGGGAGAAACGCGAATTTTGTTCTTCAATTCTGAATCACTGATAAAAATGCGGGTAAATGCTTCACACACGTTAATGAAAGAAATGAAGGGGAGAACAAGTTGGAAATAGAATAATCACTCTTCAATTTTCGAAGAATCAAGCTATAAAAACGCAAGATCGCCAGCACGCGTCAAAATATGCTTTCGTGGGCGATGAGCCGCTTTAAATACCCCCATCCGCACCGATTTGCCGTCGAGACGTAATGTACACCAGTAAAAACAAACAGGAGCCATAAAACTTTGCCCAACCAGAATCCCATGATCACGTCAGAAAACCCAGACTGCGCCGAAGAACAAGAACAAGAACAAGTAGAAAACTCGAAAAGACATGAGGTGGAGGGGGAAATTAATCGATGGAAAACAAAAGATAAGAAAATCTGCTTAAAGTTCAAGACTGGAACTAGGGTTCTTTCCTGACTTGGGGGTCTTCTTGGGGAGCAGATTCTGGTGAATGTTGGGCAGGACACCACCCTGGGCGATAGTGACATGGCCAAGGAGTTTGTTCAATTCCTCATCGTTGCGTATGGCGAGCTGGAGATGACGGGGGATGATACGCGTCTTCTTGTTGTCACGGGCGGCGTTACCAGCCAATTCGAGAATTTCAGCAGCCAGATACTCAAGGACAGCAGCGAGATAGACGGGAGCACCTGCCACCAACGTGTTAATTTCAAAATATGATAGCATAAATGATAGAGCCCATAAAAGGGTTGAGCGACTAACCAGCACCAACGCGCTGTGCGTAGTTTCCTTTGCGCAACAGGCGGTGGACACGACCGACTGGGAAAGCTAGACCAGCCTTGGAAGAGCGGCTGGAATTCGATGAGTTAGATTAGATTCATACAATGGAACAAGGATGTTTTATGTTGTATCCCGCCGCAAAACCCGAGAGAACGGATGTCACATACGATTGCGAAGTCTTGCCGCTGGCCTTTCCTCCTGATTTGCCTCCAGTCATTTTGAGTGTTGTTTGGTTTTTTGGTTTAGAGAGGGAGTGGATGCAGAAGCGTAAGTGGCAGTAACGTGAGCGGTAGAAGACGTGAGGAGAAGCAGAGTCAAACTGGAATGTGGAGAAGAAACAGAGAGGAGGAGAGAGAAGAGAGCAAAGAAGGGCAGGGAGGACGAGACACTGGTTTATAAGAAAACACGGCGTCGGCTCTTGTTGGGCGGAGTCGCAACCCAGATCACGCAGGAGAGTCACGGGATTCTCGCTTAGCTGAGCTCGATCAGCCAGATCAGTCCAATCACAGGCTCTCATTTGCTGCGTCAGCTTGTTATGGCGTCCTGCCCGATCCGGTAAGCGTGGTAAATGGCGCTGTTACCGTCCTGTACGGCCCAGTATTGTCGCGTGGCCATACAAACAACAGCCGCCACGCCCCTTAATCATACGGATCATACGAAACTGTTACCGTATCGAAATTCTGCTTCCTTCACCCACCTCAGATCACGCTGGGTGGACTGGCGCTCTTTGCTGCTGCTATAAGTACTCGCCCCCCGCCAGCTTCCTCGTCGCGACTCTTGTTCTTTTCTTCTTCCTCTCCATATCCCGCTAACAGCCGTCCCCCGTCGTCCATCTCCGCACGTCCACGTTTGTGTTTATTCTCACTCCGCATTCGCCTCTACCAACTTTATTTTTTTAAATTAAAAATCAAACAACCAAATCACAATGCCACCAAAGGCCGCTGAGAAGAAGCCCTCCACTGCTGGCAAAGCCCCAGCTGGCAAAGCTCCTGAGAAGAAGGAGGCCGGCAAAAAGACCACTGCTGCTGGTGGTGAGAAGAAAAAGCGATCCAAGACCAGAAAAGAGACCTACTCCTCCTACATCTACAAAGGTATGTTGTATATTTCCCTGTCGCTGCTCCTTCTCTCACCCATAATTCGAAGAAGTCTCTCTATGACGCGATGGAAGCGTGCTAACGCGTTTTTTCCTTTTGTCCTTAGTCCTCAAGCAAGTCCACCCAGATACTGGTATCTCAAACCGCGCCATGTCCATCCTCAATTCTTTCGTCAATGGTATGTCGCCTCATTCACGTGTCCCGTAGGAGCCATAACTAATTCTTCTCCTAATAGATATCTTTGAGCGTGTCGCCACTGAAGCCTCCAAGCTTGCTGCATACAACAAGAAATCCACCATTTCTTCCCGAGAAATTCAGACTTCGTAAGTTTGCTCGTTCCGCAATACAATCCAGCACATCGCATCGCTAACAAAAACCTCTTCACAGCGTGAGACTCATCCTGCCAGGTGAACTTGCCAAGCATGCCGTCTCTGAAGGCACAAAGGCTGTCACCAAGTACTCCTCGTCCGCCAAATAAACGACATTTTGTTTTCTTGCTTTCCTTTTTCTACTATATGATTTTGCTTTCCGTTTTAATTCCTCACGGTCAAGTGTCTTTTCTGCGGCTCAGTGAGGTGGTTACGGGTGTTCAGTGGGGTTTTCTTTTTATTTTAACGTTTCATGGGACGGCTTTGATTTTATTTCCTGTTCAAATTTTCTTTTTGTGCCGATGCCGCATGTTTATGGGTTGCAATTCGTATCGGTGTGATGGAATGTACAATAAATTACTGGAATATGGAAAGGCAATCCGGCATGGGATTACTGGTCACTGGCTCTTCCTCGATTAAAGCAGCAAAATAAATGTGCTTTATTCTCGCGCAATTTCTCTCATCGTCCCATCCCTGTTTACATTTTGAGAACCAGCCACCTGGGATTTCGGCATCTTAATTTTCAGATGTTCATAAGAGGTCTTCGTGCGGTATACGATACTTTGGTAAATGGCTCATTTCTATTCCATTCCATTTGCTAAGTACAAAATCCAATGATGATATTGCAGACAGCCCATGCCAGTTCATAACGTGAAAATGGCGGTTGTAAGACCAGGAGATCCAAAATGGAGAGAAAAGTGTAACCCCCCAAGCAGAAACATAACATGCGCATTATTTTGATATATGTAGGAAACTGGAGCTATCCCCGGCGTCTTCGCGGATGCTCACATCATTATCGTCATCAACACTCGCATCATGATCTTCACATTTGTTGACATCGTCATCGTCGTCGTCGTCGTTGTCGTCATCATCATCCAGCGACTCCACTTCATCAACCGCCCCTTCCCTCTCCGGCCCATGCCCACCAAACGGTGACTTCTCCTTATCAAACACGTGTATGATAGCTTTCCCTGTCCCGATCATCGCGCCATTGTGCACGCTCCTCTTCCACGAATTCCAGTCATCCTCGTCACGAATCAGGAAGCCAATCAGCATACTGGGGTCCATATCCTTGATATGTAAACGCCGCAGCCGACGCGTGTGGTAGGTGTTCAGCTCTTCAGTGGTGTACGGTCTATCGCCCGCGTCGTGGTAGGCGAGGGCTGGGCGGGTATGGTGCGGGTCCAGGTAGAAGAAGTGGGACGCTTGGGCGCCGATGAAGTAGTGGGAGGAGGAAGGGCGGCCGCTGTGAATTTATTTTTTATATATATAATGAGCATTGTGGTTAAGCCGGAAAAGCGCACGGGCTCACCTACCCAGCTATCCCTACGGACTGTGGATATTTCAATACGGCCTTGAGCGCTTCCCAGTAAACTGGTGTAACGCGATCGATGCCCAGCCTGATCCCCAGGAGGATTAGGGTGGGGTGGACGTCTGTGCTCGTACCAGCACCTGTGCCGCCTGCGCTGGCTATTGCCCGGAATCGATCTTCGTAGACATCTGAGCCGTCACTTGTGACGTAGACATTGAGGCCGGCGTGTTCGCATTCGCTCGATAATGCTCTGCAGGCTATACTTTAGGCCACCGAGATGACAACGAGGGGGATAGGAAAGGCCACCTACTGGATGCATCTTGCTGTTGCGGACGGGCCAAACCATTCCCCAGGGTATTTGCCACATGCGGAAGCTCCGTGTTCCACGAATCTATGTATTGAAAAGGGGGCTTTTGGATCATCGGCAAATAGCGAGAGTAGCTTGCTTTCTTCCTTTATCTTGGTACCACGTCTCCAGTCTACAGGGTAGTTTCCCTTTAGCCTCCAGATATGCATAGCAAATCATAAATACAACGAGCGTACTGAGACCTCGCGGGCACAACTTACCTCGACCTAGATATAATATTGCCAGCGCATTTGCAAGCAAACTCTGTCCTGACCGAATCATACAACCCCATCCAGTATCCGTCGTGAATCCCTGCGAATCAACCAGTTGACTTCTAAGGCGGACACCCAATGTCATGGCCGACAAAGCGTTCGGGTCGTTGGACTTGGGGATCAGCGGGAAGTTGGAGCGATAAGTAAGCCATATCTTTGATTCAAAATCATCGAGGAAAGCGTCTGGCCAATGCTGCTGTCCTTGCTGTCCCAGAGGGCTTGTTGTTGATCCACGATGGATTGCGAAGGGCAGTAGATGCCTCTGTGGCTTTGTAGCACTATCCGATGATCTTGTCGGGCTTGCATTTGTGGTCTGATCTAAGTGATTTTTTTGTTCATCCTGTGTCTTTTTGTCATCGCCGGCGTCCTTGGTGCCGGTATCAACCGCCTGGACATGTGGTGATGGTGGTTGTGGTTGCGGAGGAGTCAGTGGCTGATACTCTCGCCCGAGGCACCAGATGGGCGAGCCAGGTTCATCGTCATTCTTCGGCTCGGGATCCCAGAGGTACTGCACGATTCTCTTGTATTTTCCAATATCAACGTTATTCATGACGGCTGTCGGTTTAGAGTATATTCATACCCCATGGAGGTTGGCGTCAACCGACGGGATAAAGTCGGTCAATATCAGTAGTGATGGTTGTAGGTTGGGAATCGAGCACCTGACGGGAGAAATTTATACATTTATACGGACATACTAGTATATATATATTCTGGACCCGACAAAGACGTCACCAGGACCTAGAACTGTAGACAACGAAAACAACGGGGATATAAACGCATTCAAATACGCACCTTTATCATCAAATCTGCCAATATGCCCCCCCAGCTCAGCGAATTTACCACCAATGAGATCGTACGCCTTCTAAATGATGGTTATATGCCTGCTCAGATTGCGCGGACCATTGAGTGCAGTCTGGCCACTGTATATCGAATCCAACGAAATATTCGCTGCTTTGGAACTGCTAGAAGTCCTCGTTCAACATGGGGTGTAAAGCCAAAGATCACACCGGATATCTTGTCAGGTTTGGAGGACTTTTTTGAGGCATATCCAACTGCATATCGCGATGAGGCTGTCTGCTTTGTGAAGGATGAATTTGATGTTGATATCCACCCTCGATCGATATCTAGATTGTTGAAGAAACTGAATTTGACATGGAAGAAGGTGATTAATTATTGCAATTGTCACTTATAGAACCTGCTAATCTGTCAGTTCTATTTGATATAGGTTGAACCTGTGGCCAGTCAACGCAACGAAGAACTTCGAGCTGAATGGCGTATTCAAGTTACTCAGTATCAACCTGATCAACTTATCTTTTTAGATGAGAGTGCTGCGAATGAACGTACTGCAGATCGACGATATGGATGGTCAAGCAGAGGATTCCCTTGTCGCATTAGAAGGCCCTGTAAACGATCTCGCAGATGGTCAATCTTACCTGCAATAAGTGTCGATGGATATCTTGATTATGATATATATCAGGGGTCCTATAATACAGAGAGGTTCAATGAGTTTGTACGTGTCCGGATACTGCCCAAATGCCAACGAGGTTATCACTACTTAGTGATGGATAATTGCTCTTCTCATCGTTCACAAGCACTGCGAGATCTCTGCAGAGAAGCTGGCATTGGACTTTTATTCTTACCTCCATATTCTCCTGATTATAATCCTATAGAGGAGTCATTTCACGCGTTGAAAGAATGGATTAGAAGATACAGATGTCAGTTAGAGAATCAGTTTGATGGAGATTTTGAAGCCTTCTTGCATCATGCAGTTGAGAATTTCATGGGAGAAGAAGATGCAAGAGGATATTTCAGATCGGCTCATATAGGATATATTGTAAAATTTAAAAAGATTCAGATTACAATTCAATTATGATGATATATAATATCTAAGTTTCAAATTCAGAAGCAGAAGCAGTATGAAGTCTGCTGTCATCATTACAAACAGCAGATAAAGACAATTTAATCTCCTTCAACTGTGACTGCCAGATAGAACTCTTTAACCCATTTCTTATTATCGAGAATATACCCATTCCAATATTCAACTGAACCACCTGCTCATTTGTCATTGTCCGTATATGATCCAGTTCAAATCCTTCATTCTGAATAATGCTCTTTGCAGTTAAAAGAGCTTCTGCTCTTCGAGGTCTCTCTGTCATCAACCAGTTGAAGAACTCATCAATAAACAGATCCGCGTGTTCACCACACTGAGGGATTGGACTACTTCGAATAGGAGGCAGGTTCGGATTCGATGGCAGGTTCGGATTCAATGGCAGGTTCGGATTCGATGGCAAGTTCGGATTCGATGGCAGGTTCGGATTCGATGGCAGGTTCGGATTCGATGGCAAGTTTGAATTTGATGGCAAGTTTGAATTCGATGACAAGTTTGAATTCAGTCCTCCCATGCCTCCCATTCCTTCCATCATATATTTCATCACAATCACATTGATTATCTCACTTGGAGACACAATATTAGATGAAGAAGGAGTTGAGGGAGATATTGGATACGATAGAAGCTGACAGTCATATCATTTGTTGTGACATTCCGTAACTTGATCTTTATAGGCTCCTTTATCCCATTGATAATCACCCGTTCATACAGCTGAATGAGATCTCAGGCTCAGGGGTAGGTGTTCGCAGAAATCGAGGATCTTCTGACTGTGTCTCCTCCTCCTCCTCCTCCTCCTCCTCCTCCTTATCGTCCTTCTCATCATCAGTTGGATTCTCGTCATTATCCGGAACATCCGGAACACGCGGTTTGGACAGACGAAGGCGCAGGGTAGTTGGGAGTCCTATTACCAGCTTGCGAGGCAGTAGAACGGGTGGGTTGTTGCGGCGCATATTCGGCAGATTTGATGATAAAGGTGCAGATTTGATGATAAAGGTGCGTATTTGAATGAATTGGATGATATTTGAATGATTCTAGAGATACGTGGATATTTTGGTTATTTCTGCGGTGTTTTGCTACTATTTTTCAGGGGGTGGCAGAAAATTCTGTTTTCGCAAGCTTTACGTCCCGCCACAATATCTCTAGAATCATTTAAATATCATTCAATTCATTCAAATACACATCTTATCATCAAATCTGTCAATATGTTCTGCAACATTCATCATTCTACTGCCTCATAAACTTATAAAAGAACTTCAACTACTCTGCATTTTTATCTATTCAAATTGCTTGTTTCAAATATTCTGAATAGTGATGAGAATCTAACTGATGATAAGAAGAAGAATAAGAAGAAGAAGAAGAAAAAAAAGAAGAAGAAAAAAATACAATTAAAAGATTTTAATTTTTATAAATATTTATTTCTGAATTTGGGATCTTATTCAGATTGTATGAATGAATGATTATCAATAAAATAAAGAAGTTTATAAAAATCAAGTTATAAAATATCACAACAAATAATATGATTGTTAATTTTTATTATATTCAATATATTGTAAAAAAAATAGCTGAAGAGTATGTTATAAAGCAGAACTGCAAGAAGATAAAAGTTGCAAATTGTATAATCATCATCTTATTAAATAAATATAAATCTTCAATCAAAATCACTCTTGAAAAAAAGACAGATTGAAGAGAGATTATCACTCTTTTAAAAAAATTATATAAGAAGAAAATGAATGAATTTAATATTGAAATTATTATTTTTTTTTGATTTTTTTGATATTTCAAGTTTATTTTCAAACATCTTTGTAATACACAGTTCTGCAGCTTTCATTGAAGTGTTGAATTCATAATTAACAATTCAAATATTGATATTAAAAAACGTATTAAATGTTAAAGAAAAAGTAATGTTATCATTTATCAAATTCTTTCAAATTCATAAAATATTTGACGATGGAAAGCTGCTGTTTATATGTATAAAATCTACAGCCATTAGTCAGCAGTTGAAAAAGATTTGAAATTGACAGTTAAATGAGTATAATTTTTTACAGATTGAGTGTGAGATAACTGCTCATTGATGTTGTTAAACCCCGGTGGCCGAATGAGTAATACGGCCACCAGGTAGCGCCTTGGTGTGGGGACTCAAGGTGTATGAATTTGAAATCCACAAGAGGACAACATTACATCAGAGTCAATTTCTCAGCCTCTAAAATAAAAAAATGTGAATTTGTCAAGTAAGTATTTTCAAATGAATCTACTATCTGATTTAATTTATTGTTTCTGAGCTGAAAATCTGTATCATAAGTATCAAATTTTGTCATTTATTAATTTTTTCATATTTCTGTTATATTCTTGACATCATACAACACTAAGAATTCCTTCTATATAATCAACTCTTACCTGTATTTAACATTACACAAGAACTTGTCATAAGCACTGCTTGCATACAAATATAACAGAATAATAATAATAATAATAATCTTAATTGATGTTGTTAAAAAATGAATTGTCATAACTTTGAATAAAGTATTTGTTGAATAGCTTTTGATGATACTCATATTCAACTTTTGAGTAGTGAGATTGTCAGTTGAATAGATGATGTTGAATATGAATATACAACAATTAAAAATCTCTTAAAAAAATGATAAAAAAATTGATGGATAAAAAGAAAAAGATAAAAAGAAAATGAAAAAATGAAAAAATGAATTTATTTTTACTTTTAATTTTTTCATACAAATATTTCAAATGTCAGCAATTATATTTCCTTTCTCAACTTCTTCTTCATCTAATATTGTATCTTCAAGTGAGATAATCAATGTGATGGTGATGAAATATATGATGGAAGAAATAAGAAATATAAAAAAATTGAATTTAAACTTATTATTGAATTTAAATTTATCATTGAATTTAAATCTGTTGTTGAATTCTGTCATTAAATTTGAATCTGATATTGAATTCAAATCTGTTTTCTATTTAAAGTTATTCAATCTCTTAATTTGATAAATATGTGAATCTGTTTATTGATGAATTCTTCAATTGATTGATGACAGAGAGATCTTAAAGAGTAGAAGTTTTTTTAACTGTAAAAAACATTATTCAGAATGAAAAATTTGAACTGAATTATATACAAACAATGATAAATGAGCAGATGATTCAGTTGAATATTGAAATGAATATATTTTCAATAATAAAAGATGAGATAAAAAGTTTTATTTAACAATCACAATTGAAGAAGATTAAATTATTTTTATCTGTTGTTTATAATAATGACAATTTTTGCACAATTTCATAGAACATTTGAGTATAGTTGTCATTTTTGTTTGAAAAAGAGAACTCTGTATGAGCATTCTAAATCTATTGCAAAGTGTGTTAATTGTAAAGAGCCTCACTTTGCAAATTCAAAAGAATGTGTATTTGCTCCCAAATCAGGAAAGCCATCAGTACAGACAAATAACTCAGTCTTTACTAATGTAAATGATAGCAATAAACAAAAAAGAAGAAATTCTCAACTCTCTAAATCTGCTATCTTTGAAGCCTCTGCAAGGCAAAAAATTAGATCACAGAGTCACCAAGAACCCCTGTTCAAATAAAGATAAAAGATACACATATACAGAATATGATAGCAGTTGAAGTTGTGAATAATAGATTCAGTCTGTTATCTGACTCTGAATAAAGAGAAATACTTGTTAATATTTGTGTAATGTCAAAAAAAAAAAAAAAAAATGTTAAAAGCTCAACAAAAATCAAATTTATTCAAAATAATGTGGATAAAACAAATCCATGCTTTTATTCCTGTTTACAAATTGGCTATGAGCAAAAAGCAGACTTTGTTTTTATTTAAAAACCCAAACTTGATGCTGATCAAAAGTATAATGTATCTCATCCAGCATACTATTGTTTTCTACCAGAGAAAACAGATATTAGAGTTAGAATGGCAATACATGCTAGAAAAAATTCAAGGTTTCAATTGAATTTGAGATATGATTTAATATCTGACATTGATATTCTTATTGGTGACATTGTGGATATGAAAAAACAGTTTGAAAATATTCAATTAATCAATATCTACAATAAAAAATCTCTGAGAGAAAACAATAGAACTTGGACATTTGATAAATGTTTAATGTAGTTAAAACCAGGGAAAAACTCAATAATCATAGGGGATTGCAATGCTCATCACTCCTGGTGAAATTCAGAAAGGACTCAATCAATTAAATCTGAAAAACTAATTGAATGAGCACTTTTAAACAAACTAGAGTTGATAAATGAGTAAGATATTCCCACTTTTCACAAGCCAGGTTTGAGACAGAAATCAATTATAGATCTATGTTTTTTCTCTAATAATCTATATGAGAATAAACATTTTAATTGGTGTATTGACTCAAATGAAACAAATGGTGCTGCCACTGGACATGAGATAATTTAAGTTGATATGGAATTGGATAGTAATCAAACAGTTCAAAACCTATTATATTCAAATCAATACAATTTTGAAAAAGCTCAGTGGACAGAAGTGAAAAGAATGATTAAAAAGTTGAAATTAGAGAATAATGAAATTCTTTATTGGAAATCAGATACAAATGTTACAGGCAAAATGCTTGAAGAAAAAGCAAATTTAATCACTGAGATTATAGTATAAAAAATTATATTCCATTGAAAAGAGTCTCTGAATTCTCTAAGCCTTGGTGGAATGATGAGATTTTAAATAAAAAAAGACATTTAGCTAAAGTTAAAAGAGATTGGAAAGAAGACCTTGCCTCATGTGAGTATTTAAAAAATATTAGAAATGATTATTTCTCAACAATTAAAAAAGCAAAGACTGATTGTTGAAATAACTTTCTAGAAAATGCTCAGGGAAAAGAGATCTTCGAAGCTTTTAGATATACAAAGTCAAAAACAATGTCTAAGCTATCAACATTAACTTATAACCTCGAAGCTTTCAGATATACAAAGTCAAAAACAATGTCTAAGCGACCAACATTAACTTATAACCTTTAGAATGAGGAAATTATAGCTAGTTCATTTGAAGATAAATGTTAAGCTTTTATGAGAATATTGTTTCCATCATCAAATAATTCAACTGAGGTTTGTTTTTTGCAAGAAGATAATGAATATGAACATGATAAGAAATGGAAATGATCTGACTTAATTGAAGATGAATTAAAGACAGCTATTTTTTCATCTTCAAAGGTCACAGCAGCAGGAGCTGATACCATAAATCATTTAATAATTCAAGAGCTTCATTTAATATTAAAAAATGAGCTCTTTAAATTGTTCTCAAATCTTTTAAAATATGGGTATCATTCTAAGTGCTAGAGGCATGCTGTTGAAGTTATTCTGTCAAAACTTAATAGAAAACTAACTGTTTCTAAATCTTATAGAGTGATATCTATGCTGAATTGTCTGGGAAAAATTCTGGAAAAGATAATTGCAATTAGATTGTCTTTTCTATCTACTACAACTGATTTATTAAATGATGATCAGATGAGATGTAGAAAGTAAAACTCAGCAATTGATGCAGTTCTCTCTGTACTTCATGATATTCAACTTACAAAAAATGAAAAAATGGTTACAACTGCAATGCTTATTGATATAAAAAATGCATTTGATTGTATTTCACTTTCTCAAATGATCAAAACTTTGATAGAACTGAGAATGCCAAAGTCTCTCATTAAGTGAGTTGTCTGTTTCATGTTGAAAAGAACTATTGAGTTGCTTTTTGATGGAATAAGACAAGATATAACAGATATTGAGATAGGAGTTCCTTAAAGTTCCCCAGTCTCACCCATTTTATTTGCTATATTTATCAAGTTTCTGTTTATTGATAGACAAATGGCAATTATGGTGAGAACTCCAAGCTATGTGGATGATTTGGGTCTAGTTGTAAGCTCAGAATCAATTGTAAATAATTGCAATTTGATTGAGCAAGCAGCAACTGAAATGATTGAAAAAGCAA